TCCAAATAAGACTAAATCGGACCCCAAATCGGATCCAAAATCGGACCCAAAATTAGGCTCAAAGGAGACAGTTGGCCCAAATCATAGTTGAATATGGATTTCAATGAAGCCTTCGACCCTTTTTATAAAAATGTTTCCCCTTGATAGTTTATCCCACCAACGATGTGGGATACTTAATTGAAAAAATACAGGAACACACAAAGATAAATTTATTCTTCATTTTTCTTCTATTTTATGTTTCGTATGTTCAGAGGTTGTAAGGGATTCTTGGTATATAACTCGATCACGTTAGATCTTCAATCTTGACTCTGATTAGAAGATGATAATAGATATAAGTTAGTTCTTTAATGGTGTTTCTTTCAAGTTTGCTCAAGTTTTCAATCTTCATGATGGTGACGACAAAGTCGGTGTTGAAGTCTCGGTTGAAGAGGCTTTTCGATCGACAATTCCCTAGTGTTCTGAAGAATAATTATAAGAAGACAAACGGAGCCAGTGAAGTCAAAGATGGAGAATTCAAACCGAGCTTTGTTTGTTTGGATACAATGGTTTAGAATCCGAAGAAGACAAACAATTCGGAGAAGACAAACGCCTCCTTTCGCTGAAAAGCATGTTCCTGGGATCAAATTAGGCATTCAATACAGGTGATTCTTCTACTCTTCATTCTTTCTTCAAATTAATCTCACCGATTTACTAACTGGGTATTCTGGATTCAAACTATTGTACATGAAACCTTTGATTTAATCTATTAATCATCATTTGTGATGGAAGATGATTGAAACAAGTTGCTTAATTAATGCTAATTTTCATCTTGTTCTTCGATTATTTGCTAATTTATCATTGTTTATAGAATATGAATATGAAATCTATAGATTAGGATGATGTTTCAGTTGATGTCTTCATTGTATCTGAATCATTTGCTTCTGCTACTAATTCCATTGACAAAACTATTCGATTTCATGTAATTTACATTAAGAAATCAACCAATTGGGGAAAACTAGAAATCGAATCCCCAAAAGAGAGAATTTACTTCGGTTATATCTAATTTTGGATCTTGCTTGATTGTTGTTTACGGGGAGGATCTATTTTAAATATGTTATGGAATGTCTTGGTTCATTTGGAAGCATTGGAAGATCCGAATTAAGAATATGATAGATGATTTTTAATCAAATCTGAATTGCATACCATCTGAATTGTATTGTAGTTCTTTGTTGTTGCTACTCATTGATTAGAGTGTTCAAAGTTAAAGCTGATTAATCCTTTAAAATAAAGAAATCAACCAATTTGATGTGAGCATATTTTAATATTATATTTATTAAATTTCTAATAAATTTTTTAATTTATAATGTTATATTTAATGTTATATTCTTAGGATTAATGTTATATTTATTAATTTTTTAATAGTTAATGTTCCCCAATTATATAACTGCAAAATTGGTCCCTATGGTATTCACAATGGATGGTCCAAAATCAAGAATTTTTCATGGTTTTGGATCCCTAGACAACGTGAAAAGACGGTTTTACCATTTTCATTTCTTTTATCCATTTTTTAATTTTATATTAATATTTTTTCAATTTAAAAATAAAAAAAATTATTCTACCCACATGTAACCCCCTCCATCTCTTTTTGACTTTTTTCCTCTTTTTGACTCTCTCCCCTTTCACCTTCCCACCACCTTTATTATTGTCTCCATTCCTTTTCTTTCTCTATGTTAAGCACTTTAACCTATAAAACTCGCATGTTTTCATCATGTTCTTCATAAAAACTGATCAAATATCAAAACACAAAAGAAAAAAACGCCTCACTTGTAGATACATATACATGCAACTAAATCTTTATCTCTCTCAGATCTACAAACTCATTTTTACAACACATTTAATATGATTGATGACTACACCAGAATATCATGGAGTGGTGGGAGGTTAATCTAAACCATTCATACCAGAAAACAACTTGTAACCTTTTCGGAGCTAGATATCCTTGTCGGCAAATGGTAGAAACCGTTCTTTGAGATATGAAGCATAAAAAAACTATGAGATGGATCAGAAAAATAGGGAAGCAGTAAACAAACTAATTCCTATACCCTAACCCATTCGTGTCTCTGACATCTCCATTCCCTCCTCCAGTATCCTGTTGTTGGTTACCCAAACAACATCAACTAACTGAAGAGCATTGATTCCTCAAGAATCCCCAAATTGAAGATGAAACACCAAAACTAATAAGGTAAAAACGGGATTTTTGACTGAGATCAGATTTGAAGCAAGCCCCACTTCTTATAAACATAATCAAGAAAACCAAAATAGAAAAATTAGGTTTTCTTGTCAACAACTTCTCAACCATTAGAACCGATCAAGATGCAAGTCCTAAAGTACAAACAATCTTCGTTTTCGGCCTCCACGCACCTACTAGTTATGGGCTCTGATCAGTCTCCATTTAATCTATATTCTTTCCGACTGATCACCTCTATTATCTACTATTTGGAAAACACCACAGACTCTTCCCTCATCTACAACCTGTACATCACTTAGGGACAACGAAATAGGTTGATGTTGGAATCTTGGCTTTTCTTGTTGTTTATGGTTTTATGGTGTTTTGGTTTGTGATTAGATGCAGAAGTGGTGAAGTGAAGGAGTTTGATAGGGTATAATGTTTTAGATTGGGGATTTAGGGGAGAAAAAAATAAGATAAATGGGGGGGGAGAGAGAGAGAGAGAGAGAGAGAGAGAGAGAGAGAGAGAGAGAGAGGAGGGTACAGGTGGTGTGGGTGGGCCACTTTCTTTTTTCTTTTTCTTTTTTTTTAAATGTTAAAATAAGAGTAAAGAAATTCAAAAATAAAATAAAAGGGTAAAAAAAGTCATTTCAACTTTTCTAGGGACCAAAACCATAAAAAAAAATCGATTTTTGACCAATGGTGTAAGCTGAGAAGATTTTGAACTATATGCACATTTTTTTATTACCATAGGGACCAAATTTGCAGATTAGTTTTTCTTTCGTGTCAGGAATATATTTGCTTACAATTAATTTTAATGTTTATTTATCCTTTGTAAATTGTAATTCTAAAACTCTATACATTACTATCTCATCTAATAGGTTAATACATTCCAAAAATAAAATTATTAAATGTAAAAAATCATAGTATATAAATGTTATTTTATACACATTCACTATATTAAAGATTTTATAAAATATTGAAGTTACCAATTAAATATCAAACTTTAATATTACATTTTTTTTTCAGTTTTTATCTATGTAAACCATTATAATAAATATGGTAAAATTTTACATAAATTGGATTGTTATGATTTAGGGAGAATGAGTCATTTCCTTCCAACCCACTGTACCCACTACAACATCAGTTTTTCTCTTTTATTTTTCTTCATCATTTCTAACCCACAACACACAGAAAGTCTATCTTTTTCAACCTACTCAACTCATTCAATTAAAAAAAATACAAAACAATCAAGGTAAAATCTTAATTAACAATAGAGTTATCGCTAATACCTCCAAAATACAACTTCCTTGTTTAATTGGTTTCGCTAACTCACTTCATCATCTCTCTACTTTATCTCTCTCATTTTCTCATGTATCATATGTTTTAAGACTTGTACCTTAATTGTTTTGTATTTTTTTAATCGAGTGGGTTGAGAAAAATAGGATTTCCGTATGTTGTGGGATGGGAAATCTGAAGAAATAAGAGAGACAAAAACTGATGTGACAGTGGGTTCAATGAGTTGGAAGGGAAATGACTCCCTCCTCCCTTACAAGAATATATTGGTGATAGTTTTTATAATATATTTACTAACCAGAAAATGATTTAGGTGTTTGTTTTTTTGAAGCAAAAATCCATAAAGTCTGCGGACCACCTCTGCAACGCTTCTGCAGTAGAAGAGGTGGACCAAATGACAACAGACTGTAATAAGAAGCGTGTTTATTTTTTTAACATCTGCATGCTGCTGCTGATATTAAAAAATTAAAATAAATTGATTTTATAATCAAAAAATAGTTTTTTAATACCGAAAATTTAATAATGTATAGCATTTCGGCAATAATTTATGATATTTCAGCAAAAAAAAAATCATATTTTAACAAAAAAAAATAATGATATTTTAGCATAAAATAATGATATTTCATCAAAAATTATTATTGTTCAATATAAAAAAATCAACAAAAATAAACAAAAAAAAAATGTGAAAAATAAGAATTCAACAATATATAATCAATATTTTAGTAAGAAAAAAAAAGTTGAAAGAGGTAGAAAGAGACAAAACAAATCCTATGCCAAGAAGAACACACGCATAAGTTTTTTAATCCGAAGACTTCTGAAAAACAAAAAACTATGGGATGAAAACTATTGCACGTGTGTTGCGCCGCACATCAATAAAAAGTTTGAAGATGTTTTTTCTAAAAAACAAAAACCACCTTAGATTCTCCCTTCCAATGCTTTTTAGTTCCTAACAAATCATAGATATTATTGTATTTTTAAATTCTTTCATCCTATGTTTTTTTAGTTCCTAGCATCTCATACACCAATTCTTTAATTAATTTCCTCTAACCGAGAATCAGCCATAATCTCATCCTATCCTATCTATTCCTTTCATTTTTCAGTTTTACTACAAACTTTATTCTAATCTAGTTGAGGTGGGCTTAAAAAGAGGACAACTATGTTTTAAAAAAATAAATAAAGTTGTAATAGAATTTTATACATTAAAATATGTTCTTTTATAATATGGCACATTAAAAACGATTTGTTATTTTCGAAAACCAATCAACTATAAATATAAAAATTCTTATTAACTCAAACGGGTGTAATTACTAATGATTATTTTTTATATATTAATAATATAGATAAATAGAAACTACTGTCCTTGTTATATCACCATAAATATTAATTTTATTATAGAATAATGCATATTAAAGCAACCAATAGTAACTATACGTACTGATGCATTTATTATTTTATTATATAGGATAGTACATATTAAAGCAATTATCATCTCCCACTTATGATTTCACTAACTTTATCCTTTATCTACCACTCACAATACTTTCAATTATTTCTTGAATCCGTAACAATGGCGTCTTCGGGATACGCTATGGTGGTCTTGTTTGCTTTGATCGTTGGATCTCATTTGATTCAGTCACATCTGGATCACCGACGACATCTTTGCATCTTGACTGAGTCGCCTCTATTGCGCATTGCGGCTGCTCCCACGAGCTCCCATACTTCATCACCTACTGAAACGCCTTTAGACTATCCACCAGCTCCTCCTAACTCTCCTAACTCTGTGTCTACCGACGGATTTCCGGCATCGTTTCATTCTGGCTCACTCGTTCCTACCAAATCTCTTACTACGTGAGCATACTTGCAGCCAAATCTGTTTTCGTGGTTTCTTTAGCCGCGACGTTGGCTCTATAGAGATCTAATAAGAGTGTGTCATCCATTGGACCACATAACAATGTGGTGATCCATGTGACCTTTTGCATGTGATAGTAGCAGTTAATGCATATATGAGTGTGAGGTATATATATAATCCGTGTGATAAAAACATACAAAATCTTTAGCAAAAACCAAATAGATCAAACCATACTTGTTAGTAGCTCTATTCAGCTCTTCATACCAACTTTTGATCTCCATTTTCATTGTGACAAAACACTTAGAGAAAGTCTGAAAAAGAGATTAGGAACGGCGTTGAGTTGGATTTTGGTCCACTCCATCTATCATTTAACGCAGTCAAATTTTAAACCACATGGAGGGAAATTCTATGATTTCTTGAGAGAGAATATGCATTATAAGCCTTTGGATTGTTAAATGAGGAAATCCACCTTTGAATTATTTGTAAAAAGAAAAGGGATATGGCAATCCGTGTGATGTTGCTGGATATTCATCAAAAGAATTTTGTGATTGTAAAAGAATCTAAATTGAGTGTGGTAGTCTTTGTGCTGCATAACTGTGTACCTGAAATTCAATAAATCTTTATTACCATGAAATTGGCATCTCAATACATTTACCTACATTTTCTTATATAAATATGTATCCAACTCTTCTAAACATTATTCCCTCCGTCGTCCATATGGCGTTTTTGTATTTCTTTCTCCTAGTTATTTCTTCTTGCGGTAATTACTAAAGAAAAAGTATCTTTAATTCACTCTAACTGTCTCTAGATATTAATTAACGTTTTGTATTTTTCTTTCAGGTGTTGACGCAATGGTTTTTACATTGCAAAACCGATGCAACAAGACTATATGGCCGGGGATCCAAGCATCTGGAGGACAACCGCTACTCATGGAAGGTGGTCTTGAGCTCAAACCTCTACAATCAAGGAATTTAACAGCACCAAAAGGATGGTCCGGCAGGTTTTGGGGTCGAACTGGATGCACGTTCAATGTTTATGGTTTGGGAACGTGCACCACCGGTGATTGTGGAAGTGGTATCTACTGTAATGGTGCCGGCGGTGAACCCCCAGCTTCACTAGCTGAGTTCACCCTCGACAGCCCTGTGGATTTCTATGATGTGAGCCTTTTAGACGGATACAACATTCCCATTTCGATAATTCCACAGGATGACTCTGGCCTTTGTCCCAGTGTTAGATGTGACACGGATTTAAACCTACATTGTCCGCCTAATTTGCTAGTTAGAGGGGATCGTGGACAGATTGTTGCATGTAAAAGTGCATGCACGGCGTTTCAGTCGCCGGAATTTTGTTGTACTGGGCAGTTTCAGAATCCAAATAGATGCAAACCAACAAAATACTCGCAGTATTTCAAGCGGGCTTGCCCGACTTCATTTACCTATGCTTTTGACGACATGACTAGTACTTTTACCTGCCGAGAATCAGATTACGTGATCAGGTTCTGTTGATATCTTTACAAGCATGTATCATTTCTAATTCTTCGCCTGAATGATAAGATTACAGCAAAATAAAATATGAGTATGTTGTAGATCCTTGAGAATAAGCATCGACAATTGTTATTGCATTAATTATTTATGGAGTTGCTTTTACAATCCAAACTAATGGATTTATCTTTTTAGTTATATTTTTTAATAATATTAAATATTTACGTGTATTTGAAAGTCAATGTTAGGAAAATATAACCGAATATCCGTACCAAAGAACAAAACACTAAAATTCTTGACGGAGGCATTTGTTTAACATAGTTTTCTTAACACAAATTGGTCTTATATGCATGTTTGTTTCCCAGGATACAACAGTAGAAAACAATTCTTCTAGATTGCCCGAACTCTCACTCGATCCGAATTATACCTTGGTTGCAGCAAGAGAAAAAATATGAAACAGAAGCGTAAGAGAGGAAGAGAGTGATTTCGTTTCATCTGGTGTATTGAATCAGTCACATAGACATTGTATATAAACTACCTAATGTAACCGATGTAATTAAAACGAAAACATAATTGTCACAAATAATCAAGAAATCAAAACCGAAATCTATGATTAATTGCTCTTAATTCGTTTTTGTAATTCTCACTTGGCCTGGATTATACCTTGGTTGCAGCAAGAGAGAAAATATGAAGTAGAAGTGTAAGAGAGGAAGAGAGTGATTTTGTTTCATCCGGTATCTTGAATCAGTCAAGTAGGCGTTGTATATATATACTACCTAATGTAACCAATGTAATTAAAATGAAAACGTAATTGTCACAATTAAATAAGAAAATTAATCAAGAATTCAAAACCGAAATCTATGATTAATTGCTCTTAATTCGTTTTTGTAACTGTTAACCAAAAGGAAAAAATGCAAAAATGATCCTAGAACTTTTCTGATCGACCCGTGGTGCATTCGTGCCCGCAGGACACTCGCTCGCACACAAGTTCAGTGGCCCGAAGCCAATTTAGCTTGCATTTGCACCTCCCTGCGTACGCGTGTAAAAGAGAGCATTGGTTCTAATAAGTCTTACAAAGGTAGCTAGTCTTTATAGTTATAAACCAATTTCCTTTTCATTCTTCCACTAATGTGGGATGAGTTTTAAAACCAACTTAACTCCTTTATTTTCTCTTACAATTGCCCTACTTTGACAAGCAGTTTCTCATTCATTTTTAAACCGTTTTGAACGTGTGATATATCAAAACGAAGATATCACAGAGAAAACACGGATATATAATCAATAACTCATTTTTGATTATATTTAGAGTCCAAAATTTGTGCTCAAAAATGGAGAAAATCCATTTTTGGAAATTAATAAAATTAATTTTCCAACAATCCCCTACATAAATGAAAATTGCTTCAGCATCCGCAATTCCAAGCTGCTTTAGGTAAAATCCAACAGTTGAATCATGCATAGTATTGGTAGGTTTGACCCTTTGAACATTCCCTTAAGATACATATATATTTTACTTGTCTCACATAATTCTCCCTAATGTAGTTAGGTTCTAATTGATGTGTTTGTTTTGGTCGTGGATACTTGCCTGGTTCTGTAAGAGCTCTTAGAAACTTTCCCATTAAATTCCCTTTGAAGCGACCCCACTTCTCTCTCACATATGTGATTATATCATAATCACTAAAAACTAAAGCTTGATGATTTCCAACTTATCACCAACTAGTATAAGCTTAACCTGAATCACTATTATTTATAGGAATGAGTTGGGGTTGACCCCCACAGTGATCCACATATGTTATATGTAAGTAGCTTGTCCCATTGAACCTAGATCTTGGGATCTCCAGTAAACTAGGTTGGGTTTTCCTTCGCAACAAGTTATTAGTTCATGGGTTTTAATCCCATTCCTTTTGACGATTTTGCAACAAACTCCCTGTTTAACCCTTTGCTTAGCAGATCCATAATGTTATCATTGGACCTTATGTAGTCAAAAGAGATAACTCCAATTGAGAGTAGTTGTCGAATGGTGTTGTGTCTTCAACGGATGTATCGAGACTTACCATTATACATAGCACTTTGTACATGTCCAATTGCCGATTGACTATCACAACGGATTAAGATTGAAGAAACTGGTTGAGGCTATCCTTGTATATCTTCCAAAAATTATCGTAGCCATTCAGATTCTTCTCCATTTTTATCAATTGTTATAAATTCAGATTCTATGGTGGATCTAGTTATAACTGTTTGTTTTAAAGATTTCCAGGATATAGCTCCACCTCCAAGTGTGAAAAAAAACCCACTGGTTGACTTGGAGTCTTTAATGTCAGATATCCAATTTACATCACTATACCCTTCTATCACCTCAGGATATCTTGTGTAGTGCAACTCATAATTGCGAGTGTACCTTAAGTATTGTAATAATCTTTTAATACTTTTCCAATGTTCATCACTAGGATTACTGGTATATCTACTTAGTCTGCTTATTGCAAAAGCTAAGTCATGTATGGTACAACTAATAAGGTACATTAGACTACCCATAATTCTTGCATATTCGATTTGTACAACTCCTTCACCTCTATTTTTACTTAGATGATGAATTGTATCATTTGGTGTCTTAGCTACAATAGTATCACCGGAGTTGAACTTCTCAAGAATTTTATCCACATACTTGGTTTGATTTAAAGTAAGTCCATTTTCAGTCCTTGTGATATTCACACCAAGAATGACGTCTGCCAAACCCATATCTTTCATGTCGAATCTTGCCTTTAGCATGCCCTTTGTTGATTGAACCATTTTATCGTTGCTACCAACATTAAGCATATCATCAACATAAAGGTACACGATAACATAACCCTCACTTGTGTTTTTAACATAAACACACTTGTCACATTCATTAATCTTTTATCCATTTTCCAACATCACATGGTCAAACTTTTGACGCCATTGTTTTGGGGCTTGTTTCAACCCATATAATGACTTCACTAGTTTGCAAACCTTTGATTCTTGTCCTGGGGCAACGTACCCTTCTGGTTGTTCCATGTAGAATTCTTCTTCTAAATCCCCATTTAGAAAAGCTGTTTTAACATCCATTTGATGTACTTCAAGATTTCTTATAGAAGCAATTTTAACTACCAATCTAATGGATGTAATATGTGTGACAGGAGAGTACGTATCAAAGTAATCAAGGCCACTTTACTGTCTATAGCCTTTTATTACTAGTCTTACCTTGTACTTGTCAATGGTTCCATTTGCTTTCATTTTCTTCTTGAAAATCCATTTATAGCCTAGTGGTTTGCAACCTTGAGGTAAATCCACTAGCTCCCATGTATGGTTTTGCAAGATGGAATCCATTTTTGTTTTAATTTCCTCTTTCCATTGAGGTCCTTCGAAGGAGGTGACCGCCTCTTTGAAAGTTTGAGGCTCTCTTTCAACCATGTAAGTGTATAAATCATATCCAAATGACTTCACCACTCGTTCCTTTTTACTTCTATGGGGCTCTGTTTCTTCCTCTATTTCTTTTTCACAATAGGA